TTCATTGTTCAGATGCTGTTGTCATGGGTGGAAATCAGCTCTACTTGCTTCTGGAAAGTTGGCTTTGGTGGATTGAGTCAGGCCTAATCAGATAGTCTCTAGCCTTGCCAAAACGGGAAAAGACGACCGTGGGGCCTCTCGCTCTTTACTCCTGGGGGAAACTGGAGGGAGCAGTGGGACCCCTGTTCCTACTGTGCAGCTCTACAGACATTAGTCTGTCTGTCTGAAGAGCTGGAGTGAGCAATAAGGACTCCAGAAAAAGTCACTCACTGCATGTTTGCCTTTGACCTGCACTAGTTACAGGTGGGGCTCTATCAGGTGAGGATAAGTCTGTGTCCTGGGAGTTCCTGGTGACTTGTGCTGTCATTAGGAGCTACTGCATTAGCAGCTTTTGGAGCAGACTGGGAAACTTGGGAATTTCAGCAGAAGACCCCTTAGGTTTCAGTTGCTGTACAGTTGAGTACAGCAGTACAGAGTAGATGTATTCCATGACCACTAGTGTCAGAGTACACTGAGACATTTCAGTGATGAATGACAAACCATGCTAAATGCTTTATCAGATTGCACAACATCTCCTAGGCTTCCTGTTGATGTGCTGCACGGTGCATATTTGATGGGCAGAAATTTGTTTATAGCTGCATTTTTTTCCCCATCAATCCCTAAACGTTGTCTCCTTTCTTTTGTCTTCTGTTGGGTTTTGAGATTAGCTGCTCATCACTAGATTTCTTTAAACATCCTTGTTAATGACAGCATTATTTGTATTTATGGTTAGACTCCAGTTCTGGTCCTTTTCTTTGTGTCTTGTTTTGTCTTTTCCTGATATGCTTCCCTTCTGGGCTTGGAAGAGCTTTCCAGTCAGCTTCAGCCAAACCTAATTTCTTTTGTTCTCTCTCACTTGAGGCTGACTGACCCTCCTGTACTGTGAGTCTGTACGTCTGTACTTGCTACTTGTGCATTTTTAATGAAGAAAATCGTGAGGGAATTGTTGTAATCAAACCTAATGCCATGTGTGATACACACCAGAGTGCTTCATAATGTTATCTACAATTGAAGTTTTATTTTAGGGAGGAATCAAAGATGTTGTTTTTTCTTTTAGAGGCATTGCAGTGGATTTGTTTTCCCCTTGAAAATCTTGCAACTGTTCTATAATACAGAGCTAGGTGCCTTATTTCCAATGTGAATCCCATCTTCTGGCCACTAGATTATGGGAGACTTCTGTCTTACACAGTGAGATAGGACAGTTTGCACATGGAGCACAAATCCATAGTGAAACTGCATTTAATCAGAGATCCAGCTGCATTCAGATGTTCTCTCGCTTCCCCAGTTACTCCTAAACTGGTTTGGAAGCTGGCTCAGGAGCTGGCAGTGCCTGCTGTCATGCTGGTGTTTTCAAGCAGTGTGGTCAGTTTGTAAAGCACATGCTCTTGTGTGGTTTAGATTAAGGTTCCAGTTCAGCTGAGTTAGTTTCCAGTTCATTTTAGCAGTTATTGTATTGGTGGACTGGGAACAGCCCACTCTGTGCAAAATGATCTGGTTTTCCCCTTGGACTCAGGATGGGGCTCTGATCCACTGCTCTCTTGTGGAGTCGGTGTGAGTATTTGTCTGCATCCTGTTGCAGTGGAGTTCTTACCCTGGTGAGTGTGTCAACACTTAACTGGGACCCTTGGGAACAATTCTGCATTGAGTTTATCAGCCTGGTTCTAAAATCCAATCCTGACCTAGCTGAAGATGTTTTTCTTAACGGCCAAATTCCCATGACTTCTGCTTTCAAAGTAGTTTTTTGTTTGGCTGTGTGTTTCTGTTTGGAGTTCTGGGTATTCCAGTGCTCCATGCCAGGCTTCCTGAGCCAGAATGCTGGAAGATTTCGAGCATGGCACGAAGCAGTGCTTGGAAGTGCAGCTTGGCTTCTTCCTTTGTATTCCATGGTTCTGTGCTTTATGAAGTTGTAATTGAGTTGGGAATTGAGATCAACTCCCAAATGTATTGATTTGTGAGGTGGAAAAATCCCAACTTCATGGTGTTGTGGTGCCAGTAAGCCAAACCCTGAGCAGACAAAGTGGGGATGATCCTAATAACATTTTCTCCAACAGAAAGGTGGCTGTTGTGTTGCTTTTCTGCTGTTTCCTGCACTAAGCATTTTGCTGATCCTTTTTTTTGCTGTTCTCCTTTCTGTAGATGACTGGCAAATTCCCCCCACTTCTATGAACACCTCAATGTGAAAGTGGTTTTTAAAAAAAATTGTGCTTAAAAAGTGGCAGGCAGGACTGGGAGCAGATACAGCCTGGGTGTGAATCAGCCCTTTCACAACCAAGGCTGGCTCTGTGCGTGCCCTCTTGTCTGTCTGCCCTCCACCCCCTTTTCTGGGTTAAATACAACCTCTGACTTGGCTAAACAGAGGAATTTTTGACCAAATGAATTTGAGCACCATATGATCTGCCTCCTCATGTTCCCTGAGCCCTTTGCAGGAGAAGGGAAATGCTTGTGAACAAAGTCTGCTAACAGAGTTGTGGGTGGAAAGAGGACAAAACGAGTACGTGAAGAACCACATATTTTCACTGGACTTCCAAAACAAGTGACAGTTTGTTCTCCAGATAAAGGCACATTTGAGAGGAAAGACCTGAACAGTGAAAGTAGAGGGGATTTTGGTGGTTTTTTTTCTTGGTGTCACAAAAATTCTTGTCCAAAATAAGAAACATTGAGGTTTGTAAACATGAACTGTTTAAATATGAAAACGTGACAGGCTGAAGTCCCCGCGAGTCCTCATGGCACAAAACAGAAGATCCTTTTCTCAGAACATGAAGGTGAGACTTCAGTGAAGGGGAACATGCTCTGACATCTGGGGTTTTGCAGTTTCCTTCAGTAGAGATAATCTTGCTCTCATTCAGGAAGTCCAGTGTATATGTCAAAACACCCTGAATTATGTCTGGGTGAAACCTTTGGTTGAGACCCATGTCCAGACTCACTAACCATGGGTGTGTTTCTCTGCTCAGGTGGGGTAAAGGAAGGCTGAAGAGTACTTTTGCATAAAATGTCGGGGGGATGTTATGTAACTACATTTCTGTATTTTTTTAATTTTCCTTTGTTTTTTTTTCCTATTTCTGTTAATTTCTGCTGTGTTAAGACTGCATCCTCTGCAAATATCCTGAACCAAGCAAAGATTTTTTTGCGAAGAGAAAGCTGGAGGTACCATTCAGGGCAGCCAGGGAGCTGGTCTAACCACTTGCTGCTGACGGAAGGAATTTACTCCCCCATTCACAAATGTTTCTCCCTCCTTCCTGCCTTCCTTTTCCTCTTTGTTGTCTCCAAAACCTCATCTGTTCACAGGTTGTGCTCACTACCAACCCATTTCTCCCTCAGTGTGTTTTTCAGTGGATTTAGTGGGTGTCTTGGTGTATACAGTGTGAGGACTGGTGCTGGAGGGCTAGAGGAGATGGAAAGTGGGAATAGTGGCTCTCCTGGCTTCAGCAGGCTGTGAGATGAGCTCAGCACATACTGCTTTACACAAACTGAGGGACACTGTGCACCCAGGGAATTGTTGCCTGTGCAGTTTGAGTTGTGCAAAATGAGCCTTTCCATGTGGTGTTTGTGTTCAAATGTTGCAGCCTTTTTGCTTTTGTCTGAGAATCCAAAAGGAAAATAAAAGTGATCTGCACAATTGTTTTGGCCTAGAAATTCAGATGGGATAGTTAATAAAATAAATGTTAAAGGAGGAAGGGGGTTTTGTCTACCTGAGCCTGAAGGATGAGAAGAAAATCAAACCAAAAACCTCCATTGTATTTTTCCACTTCAAGAATTTACAGGGTGGAATTTGTAATTCCCCCACTGACCAAACTCATGAGAGTAAGTTTTTGTTCTTCAGATACAAAAAACTTATGTTTTTTTTGGTTGTGGATTAGGAAGAATGAACTTCTCTAAACTTTTCTAAAACTGAACTCAGCTCTTCTAAACTAGCTGAGTTCGTACCGGGATGTTCTTTCCCTGTAAGCTCCCTGTTCAAAGACAAGCAAAGCTGGAATTTGTGCTGTGTAGTTGTGCCTGCTTTTCTCATTCTTTAAGAACTTCCCAGTACCTCTGACATTGCTTTGTGCCCATAGCAGTAAAAATCCTGCTAGTCCCTATTCAGTCATTAAACCATAGAAACCCAAGTTTGAAGGGGCTAAACAGCAGAGGCTTAGACATCACATACTGGAGCAATAAAAAGTTCTGAGAAGACTGTCTTCAGTCCAGATGCAAATACAAAGAGTACAGTACCCAGTGTATCATGAAAACAGGACCTTGCACAAGAGGCATGTAACGAGTCGTTGGTTCTGCTTATTCCTGGGTGCAATTCAAAGAGGTGGTTTGTTCTGTAAAGTGTGGTTTGTCATGGAAGGTGATGTCATTCACACCATGCTTGGGAGAGAGACTAAACATGATGCTTCTAGGGAAGGATCTAAGCCAGTCCAGTTTAGTGCACAGTAAAGAAGTGACTTATTGTCAGAATTCAGCCTCATTTGTTCTCTATTTAATGATTTCCACTTTTTTCCTGTTAGGGTGGTGTCAGCCCTTTAACAGGTTAGATTTTTCATGCTATTTCTCTGCCTAGGATTTGTAGGAGCTGAGAGTTTAATTTTATCAAGCTTGTTGCCTTCGGCTTGTGAGTCCTGGCAGCCCCCTGCTTTTTCCATTTCCCCGCTCCAGCTTCTCCAGTGCTCAGCACTAAACCAGCTGTAGCATCAGGATCTACTTAAAAACCTTCCAAGAGTCTTGTGTATGTACATGCCACATTTTGGCTTGTTCAAATAACTCCTCAGTTACTTGTGATCACAGGGGTTTTGTAGCCTACCTTGAGGATCTGCACCCAGGTGTGCATTGTTGCCTCTGCTTTCCTGCAGCAAAGACTTCAGCTACTGAGTTTGATCCTGAATTCCTTGGACTTGTATATTAAATGATTATAAACTACACTTAACTGTGAATAAATACTTCTAGTTTGAACTAAGGTGTTTAACTCTCTTCTCTAGGCTCTGTTTTGGATATTATCAAGCACATTGTGGCCAAAGGAGAACATAAGACTGGTGTCCTGGATGAACCCTGTATAGCCACAATCCTTAAGGAGGTGCTGGAGGGACTGGACTACCTGCATAAAAATGGGCAAATCCACAGGTATTTTACATTTTTCTCACCTTTGTCATAAAATGTTCTTGAAACAGAGTAGCTGAGCACACTCAGTCTCATCCCACAACTCACCGTGAGGGCATGAAGAGAGGAAAGTAAAGGTGAGAGCTTAATCAAAGTGCAGAATTCAGATGTCTGTAGTCTATAGACTACATCTGTATACTATGACTAGGCCAAATTTGGGTAAACTTTGGGATATTGAAAGTTCTGACACAGAATCTCATTCCAAATGTCAGCAGCCAGCTGCAAAGTATAGTTGTTGGAGCTGGAAAACTTCAACTGGTTTTGTTTCTTGCTGAGCTACAAATCAGCAAGAGCACTGCATAAGCAGTGTTGAGCAATTTAATAAGGAGCCCTTCAAGCCCTGATTTTTCTTTTTAAGGTTAACTGCAAGATCAACATAATGAAATTTGAATTTGAGTGATTTCATTAAAAAAAGAAAATGAAAACAAAATTAATGGAAAAACAACTTCTGTAGGCAAAGCCCAGTTAACTAATGGCCTGTGATTTGACAGATCACTGAAACATGAGGGTTTCTGTGCTGCTCTCTTGTTTGAGAGATACTTTTAAATCATATTTTCCTCTCCCCTGGTGTCAAGGTGTGGTGTAGTTCAGTAAGAGAAGATGCTAAGTCAGTCTGTTCTGCATTAAAAAGACTGAGATTTTCAATCCTAAATATGTGCTGAAAATAGAATAAACTGCTTCTGGGTAATATTCACTATCCCAGCCACAGCTGCTGGAACAGCCTCTTCTTTCTTGGGAATTTTGTGAGCTTGGCTGTCTTCTGGGACAATGCCATTACAAGCATTGCTGCTGCTGCTGTGCTGGAGTAAGTTTCTGTCCTCTTATAGCTGCACAAGAAGAGGTTACTTTTTGCCAAAATTCTATTTATTTAGAAAATCCAGTAAGTATTTATTTCATATTTATAATCAAACTGACTGGCTTTTGTAGGTTTATTTTGGGTTGAAAAAGAAAAAAAATGGAACTAATTGAGGTGGAGTTTTTCCCCTGAAAGAAGTGTCAAATTTCATTTTCCAGTCTCCATTAAAATCCTTCAACAAGAACCGTTGTCTTCACTGAAGACAGTTTTGATTTCCTAGCTGGTTGCTTAACTTCGTTTTTTAGAGGTAATACTTCAGGCAGCTCTGGGAATTCAGAGAAAAGTGATAAACCAACTTACCTGCCAAGTACTTGGTAACTTTTCACTGTGCCAGAAGTAATTAATAGAACCATGTTCATCTGTGACTTGCAGTTGGTTTGCTTGGCTGATTTAGTTCATCTTCTGGTCTGGTGGTACTGAAATATATATGTTAAAGCAGCAGTAACCTGTTAAATTTCAGTTTTTCTGAAGGTATCACATAATGTTTTCTGTACTGAAAGAGTGGTGGTTCTCCATTTGGCTGGCTGGATTGGAAGAGCAAAGCTAGTAAATGTGGTAAAGATTAGAGAGAATATATTCATGTGTGTGGGGTGAGGTTTTTTTACTGCTCTCAGCAAAAATACCATGTTCACAAAGTTTAAACTGCTTGGTCTGAAGAAAATGTGATTCACATTGAATCATTTGGAAGTGAACTGGACCAAACCTACTGTGACCATTCTCATCTTGCTGGTTGAAGCATTTTGCCCATATTTAGGGAACTTCAGCAAAGAAATCAGAGCTGTGTCATTGATGCAGCTCAAGGTTGTGGTTGTGCATCAGCTGCTTTGCATGTGTTGCATCCCTGTATTTTGGGGCTGCTCCAACAATTGTGTAGTATTTTATCATGGAAAAGTGTTTGGATTACCTCATTGTGTTGGGCACAGTGGTCTGGGGAATTTGGAGAAGTGGGATACACAAGGAAAGTTGTGAGGTTTCCTGCCTGTGATGCAAAGGATGGGTTTTAAGTGTTGGCAGAAAGCAAGCTGACATGCCTTTGAGGGATGAAACATGTTTCCTTAATGGAGTTCATCCTGCTGTGTTCCGTTTTATCCAGATGTGTGTGTGCTGCTGAGGAAAACACAGTTTAAAGATGTGGTGCAAATGGGACCTTTCCTCATCCATAGGAATATCTGTATGGTTTTCCCGTTTTGCTTAACACCAGGGTCACAATATTGGTCATGCCTGATGGGAAAGGCAGGTGGAAATCTTAAAGCCGTGCCAGAGATGCTCTGAGAGGAAGTGTTTAAAATAACTAAACTTCAGTCCCCTGGGTCAGCTTAAAGTATCTGGCTCCAAAGGAAACCACATCAGGTGATGGCTGAACTGCTGTATCGTGTCTGCAGTGTGGGGCAGCTGTGCTTGGGGTGAACTTGAGGCCAGGGCAAGATCAGCTGTGAAGGATCAAAATGGAAGGGCTTTGACCAGACTCGGAAGATCCAACCCGAAGCAAGCAGCCGTCCAGCAGAGCAAAGTGTTCAGCTGGTTGCACTAAATATCCTATCTCTGTTCATATTACACCTAGGAGAAAACAACTTGATAAAATTAGAGACATAGTATGAGTGAGTGACTGTAATTAGCTCATCTAAAGATGGACAGCCAGGCTGGTGGCAAAGCCCAGAGGATGAATATCAGGACCCAAATGTGATTTTGTGGGCGCTGCTGACCTGAAGTGGGGCCATAAATCATTGGTGAGATCAGAGAACATATGTCTGACAGCAGAGCTGCTTCATACTTCTGAATTATTCATCATCTTAAATGGGTAAATGAAGTTAACACGTGAAAAACTGGCTTAATGAAATTCTGCTGCTGAATCTTACTCTGCATAAGTCCGCCTTGAACTTAGTGCCACTTCCAATTAAGGTTTGGGGAACTGGGTTGGCGTGGAAGTGTAAATCCCTGCTTTGGACAGGAGAGGAGTTTGACAGTATTCTCTAGAGGAGATTAGAAAGCCAAATATCTAGTGAAGGCTTAAATTATAATTCTTTTTTTTGTTTACTTTCCTAATTAACAGCCAGAGCAAGTCCGAGACTTGAATAGGCACCATTGTTCAGCAACAAATGCTGAAGTTTCCCACATTTGCCCAAAGTGATGTTTTTTTTGCTTTCATCTTCCAAAGGCTGTTGGTAAGTGTCTTGAGGCCTTATGGGAAAGACAAAGGAGAAGGCAAAATCAGTTTTATTTTCATGAAACACTCTATACCGAGGTGACGATTACAAATGATGCCCATCTTTCTCCAAAATCACCACTGCCTCCGTATTGCAGAGTTAGCAGCTCCCTGCCTTCCCTGCCATGTGCCCATCCCTGGCCATCTCTCCTGTGCCAGCTGCTGCTGCTGTCCCCATTGTGGCTTCCTGCGTAGCACAGTGATCCCAATGCGGATTTGAAATCCCAGTGATCCGGCTCATGCTGAGTGAGTTAAGTACCTGGGCACCAGCCAGTGTGCTGAGGACGGAGGGCCAGACTCGGAAGCCTTTGGATGAAGCTGTCCTGCAGGAATGTGCTCAGGCACTTTTTTTTTTTATGGAAGTTGAGCAAGACTGACGTGCTGTGAGGGGTCGCTGCCGGGCTAATCTTGTCTGGGTGACACTCAGGGTATGTTGTACCTCTTCCCCATTTGGACTCTGATTCCTCTGTGTATTTGGGGATTAGCAGGAGTTTGATGAATGACTTAGAAATAAAACTAAAGTAAAACCAACCCAAGAGGTTTTATTGCTTAAAAAGATTTATTGGAGGGAAGTTCAAGGCTTTTTCAGGTGGTGCTCCGTATGGCAGTCTGACAAATGAATCATGCTGATTAACTGTTACAAGGTCTCTCTGTCTTTCTCCCTATTTTTATCTCAGAGCTTATCTTCTGTTCATGATTAGCTGTTGTGTAACTGAATATTTTAGTTAGTCCAGGTGAAATGATACGCTGCTCAAATATAACCAGATTCTCTTATTGCAGCACAATAAATGTGATACTTGCTTGCTTTTTTTGTAAATACAGAAAAGCCTGGAAAGTGGTTTAGGATTGCATGCACTCGAAATATTGGCATGGCAGCAGTCCAGCTATTACTTTGTTGGCTGCTCTGCTTCTTACAGGGTGAGAGATGCAGAAGCACATTTGATCTGCTGAGCTAGATCAGCCTATGCTGCCCTACTGAATGTTTTGGGGTTTTTTGGTGTCTTTTGAAAATCAAGAGTGTGAGCAGCAGGGTGCTGGGGCAGCTGTTTGAATGTTGCTTTAAAGGAGACCCTGGAAAGAGTATTCTTGCTGTGCTTCTATGCCGACTATATTCACTTATTTTTTGGACCTTAGGATGGTTCTGACAGAGGATCAAAGTTTAATTTTTTGCCTCTTTACCTATATTAAGAGTAAATAACTTCTGAAAAAAGGAAGTGAGCACATCACCAAGACTTGTGTGTGGGCTTTTGCAAGAGTGCTGCTCCAATAGCGGGTTTTGTATTTAAGATGAAGAAGCTGATGGATATATTTCGGCACAGCTTGGCTGTCCAGGATTCAAGCTTAATTTTCATGTAGCTGATTAATGCATTGATAGCTGTGCTGGCAGGTCTTGTGGTTAAACTGGATTCCAATATGCCTCTGATTATTTTGATGACTGAAATACTGTACTTTTTTGTTTCTGTAGCAATAATGTGGGAGAACTACAAGCCCTTCTCTCCACAGTGCTGTAATCTTACTTTGGGGAGTGCGTTTTGGAAGTGAAGTTTGGTAGGGGAGGAATGGATAACGGGTGGAGCCTTTCCACCTCTAATTGCCAGTTTGATTTTAAGTCAGGACACTGGTAATTTGAAAGTTGGCTATTGCTCAGCTGTGGGAAGTGGAATTTTCTTATTCAGAGATGTGTGCTTTGGGCTCTTCTTTTATAGTATGGTAGGGCTAGAAATAACTCCTAGAGGTAGTAGTTAATATAAATTTTAGAGCTTTAATTTGTAAATAGTTCAGTAGTCACAGAAATGTTACTCTTGGCTGTTTCAGTGGGAAGGAGGACAAGATGCAGCTCTGGGTTGTACTGGGTGATTTGTTCCCCCAACAAACACCTTGCTCTGCGCAGTGTGAAGGGCACAA